ACAACATGTGCTGATAAAATGTGAGCAGGATATCATTTAATTTGAAAGAGGAGCCAGGCCCGATCACATGCAAGCATTTAAAAAAAATATAAGAATGTTAAATCAGCTCAAACTGCTTACCGCCTTTACTTTACTTCCTCCCAGACAATATAAGGCCATCAAAGATATATAAACCGCAACCCTAGTCAGTGATTCATTAACGGATTTGAAAATTCCAAGCTTTATGCCACTAGTCTGATAAGCAAGAACCTGCCAAGCTCCACAAGGTGTTAAGTGCATGGATATCTTGAGAAGAGCATATGCTTAAGGATATCAATCATTAAGGGACCTCAATGGAATATTTTACCTGGCTACCAAACATTGACATTTGATGTTTTTCTCCACCAAATGACCTTACCTGAAGGAACAATATCACTGATAAAATCATACATTTATCATCCTATAAGTTGCTGGCTCTAATAAACTATGGTGGAAACTTCTATGACCAAAACACTTCTAACTTCAGGTGACCCAAAAAAGACATGAAAAGTGTAAGCACACAGTGAAGCAGTCTAAGAACTTACAGTACGAATAGCAGAAAAAGTTTCATTTACACAATCGGCGATAGAAGCTTGGGACAATCCATGCGCTTTATATACACTCACAGTTGACCGCTTGTACACAGCTGAGAATACACAAGTGTCAGCAGCAGGCAAGAAAACATCAATGAAAAAGGACAGTTACAAGAAATTGTAAAGCTAGCAATTGATGAACATTTTTAGAACAACTTTAAAGTAGGTGGTATTGAACATGAGCTTAAGCATTTGTGTATCAATGCATAGATCTATTTGTGGAAGTATATGGAAACTCTAGTTGTATTTCCAGTGAAATAATAAACCTCGCACATATTAATTGAAACCACAGATTTTCCAAAGCAATTAATTCATACCATTATAATACAATCCAGCGTATTTGTGCATGGAATTTAAAGATGTGGATATAGAATTAAGATTCTAAGAAGAAAAAGGAAAAAAAGTACAGAACATACTTCCAACCCACTTATCATGATGAGGACAGTATGCATTTCAAACAGAAAACAAAGTACATAGTAAGTGGCTTCTTTCAAAGAGATGATTACCAACTAAAACAGACACAGTAAGTGTAAGAAGGCACAGAATTGGTGCGAGTGGGGGCGACAGCACAAACAGCAAGCTTATTGTCCCAACCACCTGCAAGAAAAGCAAAAGACACCAATGGTTAAAAAGATCATCAGATTAACTTTGCACAAAGATGATAAGGCAAACTCTACTGTCCATAAGACTGGTAATCAACATTGTAGAAGTGCATTCTCAACTTAACTCAACAAACCCTTCTCAAATCGCAGGTAATGGAAAATTGTTGTAATAATGGAAAAACTTGGTAACTTTCTCAGCAAATTATTGTGAGAATAAAATCAAACGATTATGGAAAGCTAAGTCAAATATGAAGTGCAAAAAAGTCATTAGAATAAAAGAGAATCAAGTCCACATAAACCTCACTTTTCTCATCAAAAGAAAAGTTAAAAAAATGGAAACATAAAGCTCACTTCTGCTTAGTGTAGAATAGCTTGCCTCAGATAGTGCCCTGAAACCACGGTCCCTGGAAGTGTTTTCACTCACAATATTTTTAAGTGAACCCAACTCTGATGTCAATAAAGCAGTGAGTTCACCAACCTACCAAAAGCAAACTGTAAACTATCATATCAATAGTAGCAGCAGCTATAGGAATAGCATAACCATCATGACCAGAAACGTTCCATTAGGATGAACATGATAAAAGCAAAAGGAGCAGGTCATAACCAAATTGACTTTTTTCCAAAGGCAAAACCATCATTCAAAGGTTAACACCTGCTGAACTTTTCTTTTTACACATCCATAGCAAGCTTGTTTCAAGTTTAGCATCTTCTGTATCACTCTGGATGATATGACAAAATTTAGTACTTGATGTTTCTTGCTCTTTCTTGCCGTCTTCCTTTCAGTATGTAAGCATTCTGTATCATGTGTCTTATGACTTTCTATTTTGCTATCCGGTAATTAAAAATATTAAAATTCTCAAACTCATAGCTTCTTACGCACATATATTCCATTATTATATTTTCTCTACTTAGCATCCTGCATTTAGAGTCTTTAATGTCAAAAGACAGTGAGCAAGAAAATATGCAATGCAAATCACCTGAAAATCAGATAGTGGCAAGTGTTTTTAATGCAATTACAGCATATCCCTAAGTAAGTTGGTCGGGCTTTGTGTTTCGAGAGGGGTTGTAGAGGGAAGAATGTTGCCTAACAACAAAAATAAAAAATTTGAAGAAGCATGATCAAAACCCAAAGATGCAACCCTTGTGCCAAAATGATAAAAACGTTAGTAAGCCACAAAACTGGAAATCTATTATTAGAGCAGTAGATAGTTATTACTTCCAGAAAAATCTTCTTGAAGGCAACATTGCATAAAAAAAAAAAAAAAAAGCATTACAGTCATCACCATATTGCAAATACTAGCACCAAATATCTGTCTATGTCTACAATAACACTATTAGGCAAAAAAGATCATGTTGTGAAGCACTGCATTGAAAGCCTTCCATCTTTATACTTCCAGAATCTTGGGATCTTCAGAAAGAAAATAAACAGATCATACACCCATAATAAAGCCATCTATTTGAATCTCGATATGGGAGCGGGAGCGGGAGCACACACAACGAGAAGGATCTCATATTCATACCTTGTATCGGTCAAAAAACTCCACCTGCAAAGATGAAAGAATAGTAATATTCAAAAATCAGAGTACTGTGTTAGAAGGATAGAACTTCACGAAACTAATTATCATATTTTAAATGATACAACATTACGGAACAAATACAATAACTGTTCTTCACAAACAGGCAGCAGTACGTGAGTCATGTGACCCAATATCAACACCAACATAAAGAAAGACAAGGTTGAGACCAATTTAATATCCCCTGAAAATTTTGGCATGTACAGTTTCTAAATTCAAGTAACATGTAATTACCATGTTTCATGTCTTTTGGCTGTCTATCGATATAAATAGACAAGAAGTTTTATGTAAACCAATATGTCACGGTCATTTGACTATTCCCAATACATTATTTCATGCAGATAAGCTTAAAGTCTGTTCAGCAATGACAGAAAAAACATAAGCTCATAATTATAATATGCTGTAACGACTGATTTTACCTTCTGAATCAATACCCTTCGAAATATCTGAGCTCTTAAGCTTAACATAACCTTCTCCCATATGGTGTTCATGTTTGAAACGAAAATAATCGTGAAAATTGGCTCCAATGTATACAGAAGTCCCATCTTACTGAGCACCTTCCATAGAGGTTCAGGTCTCACTCCTGTAAGTACTTCGAAATATCTCCCTACGATTAAAAAAAAATTCCCCACATGTAGCAACACAAACAAGAGTATCAGACGAGTCATTCCTCACTAGCACATTCTTGAGTTAATCAATAAAATTGCCCTTTCCACGAGTACAATTTGAACATTCTGGTACTGGTAGTCCTAATTATCAAAATCGGAGATCTTGTACAAAATAACTCAGATTACTTTCTATTTCTTCATATTTCTGAGTAAAAACAAACGTATTAAAGGAGCAATGTATTAGGAGTTTTATCCGACGTTTACCAATGTACAAGGGCAAGGTGAGAATGCAAGTGGTGCAACCGACGAGAGTGATAACCGAAGCCGCAAGTCTCAACTTGTGGCGAGCTACAAGACTCCATATTAGACCCCAACTTATCAAATTCGTCGACTGCTGCGATTCCGATTCCGATTCCGAGTCTTGAAACTCTGGATCGTTCTCGGAGATTATTACATCAGCACCTGGGCCTGATATGTAGGTAGTTGAGCTTGAGCCCTTGGATTTAAGACAAAAATGTCGCCGACGAGACGGTGAAAACGAACGCAGAGCAAGTCGGTGATGATCGGTTAGCCTTTGTGTGTAGTGCTTTGGAATTGGAACTGTGTGAGGGAGGGTGATTGAGAAAGTTGCAGAAGCCATCGTCAATGGCGTTGATTTTTTCACGAGTAAATACTGAATGGAACGGAGTACATAAGGTATACTCGACTCAGTAGTTACTTGATTACATTGGGAATGGTTATTAATTTTTGTGCGTCTATTTATTTATTTTGATATCATATCATTGTTATAATGAATATATTTTCGTGAGTAGAACGGTAAAACCTATAGTACTTCTTGAATAAATTATATATATAATTTTTAAATTATAATTTTTGTGTTAATTAAATTTTTAATTTTGTTTATATCTCTAATTTTGTGTTAATTAAAATTTTTTTAACAAAAAGTGATAAAATGTGTCGCACAAACGATTAGAATAAACTATATATATGATCTTTTTTTTTTTATCGTAATATATATATGATCTTTAAATTATGATTTTTATATCAATTAAGTCTCTAAATTATATTTGTGTTAATTAAACTTCTAATTTCTCATAATTAGAGAATTTAAGAACTCAATTAACAAAAAATAAATAAAAAACTTAATTAACATAAATATCATAATTTAGTTATTTCATACTTGCTTAGATTGCAAAATTAGATAATAAAATCATTTTAATTTTAGTAAAAGTTATCTTCAAAAATAGATATAAATCATATGTAATTTTGTTTTTGTTTTTTGCTCAGGTAACAAAAGTTGAGTTTCTACTAATACAATTAAATTTTAGAGGTTATATTTAAGACTAATGTTATTTGGACTTAAAAATTTGACATAATTTATTGACTTAATGATGTGGCTTCGTTAAAACCATTTGATTAATACCAAGTTTTAATGTTTGATATCCCCATAGTTAATTTAAAAGTTATAGTGAATTAAATCAACATATTAAGTCAGTAAATTAATTTTCAATAACATTGTTATATCTTTAAACATGTTTTTGTTAAAAAATTGAACTCGGTTAGACTTTAAATAATTGAAATTTCGACGATTATTATAATGAAAGTATAAGAAATTAAGACTTGTATTTTGCAATAATTAATTTATTGACTTTTTAATTAGTGTGAAAAGCCAAAACTGATCAAGTTGACCAGTATAATAGGCAAACATTAATTTTAGTATGTCAACATTGAATATGATCAACGATTAAGATTGATCTCACTTTTATCTATTTTAATTAAATAATAAAAAAAAATTTTCGCCGCTCAATATCATCGTATTTTTTTGCACAACTCTAATGTCAAATAATTTAAACAACATATTGCAAAATAACTCTAATAATCCACGTACACATCTCTTCTCTCTTATTTTCTCCCAATTCACTCTAATTTTAAATTGTGTAATTAAAAAAATTAAATAAAAAATAATTTATTATTTAATATATAAATATTGCATGTTAATTTTTTGATATCTCAAAATGTCCAGATTATTGCTAGTAGATATATATTATAGGGTAGAATATGAAAAAGCCTTTCACTTTAATATTTGTTCTTTAATTTAGAATAATATAGGGGGATGTCACTGTAATTTGTTTATTTTATTAATTACGTCGACTATTTCTAGCGTCGTTAATGACCGTTCTCCACTCCTACGTTAGGGTTTTAGTAACGGCAGCTGTCAGGCCTCCGACGAATTTATACACACGAGTGAAACATAGAGCAGTGGATAGAGGGAAGAGAGAGAACGCTCGGTTGCTCCATTTCAAAGCTACCACTATGGCGAGCGTAAGAGACTGTGTCACAGCTTTAATTTGTTTACAAGTTTTTCGATTCTGTTAATGTTTGGTATTCTTTCGTTTGATTCAGAATATGATTCGTTCCTAGGTTTTGGATGTGAATTTTATTTATTTTTATTATTTGTAGGTTGAATCCGAGGCACAATCAAACGACATGGAGAAGAAGAACGAAAGAGAAGTAAATGTTTTGTAACGGAATTTCATGATATTTATATTTCCAGTCGTTAATATACTCTTACAAGTGTCATTCGCCGATGCAAATGAATTTTATGTGTTAATTATGCTTTTTTCGTTCTGTTGTAGGTGGGATCAGAGGCACAATCACAGGTCGAANAGTAAATGTTTTGTAACGGAATTTCATGATATTTATATTTCCAGTCGTTAATATACTCTTACAAGTGTCATTCGCCGATGCAAATGAATTTTATGTGTTAATTATGCTTTTTTCGTTCTGTTGTAGGTGGGATCAGAGGCACAATCACAGGTCGAAGATCCTGAAAAGAAGAAGAAGAAAGAAGAAAAGGTACGAGGCTTGAGTACATTTTATTTTTATTTTTTTGAAATTGAAGATGGCAATTGTTTTCCTTTTCATTCATGCATAGTTTCGAAGTAAGTAAATGATTTTATTTGGACATTGGTATATCTGGGTTTTTTAAATAAGTTGTTGTTACATTATACTAGAGATAGGTACTGTTCTGGTTTAATGATAGTGCTTGTGGATTAATACTATAGCTTTGCACCATTTTGGGGTTAGGCAAGAGAGAAAGAATTGAAGAAACTTAAGGCTGCACAAAAAGCGGAAGCAGCCAAACTTCAGGTATGATTAACATCGTTGTTTGTAGTTTGTTTCAGGCAAGAATATCTTCATTTCTGAATTCCCATTGAATTCTAGTTGAGTAGTGTATTATTTGTGTATTTCGGTTTGTAAGTTTTGATGATACGTGCTGCCTCTTGTATGTTGACACCTCTGAGGACTGAAGAGCATAAATATTTTTTAGTTTGTTTTTTTTCATGGAACTATAAATGTCTTATATCTGTTTCAAGGCACAGCAAGGTTCTTCTGCTTCGAAAACGAGTAAAAAGAAAAACTTAAAGAGGGATGCAGGGGAAGAAAACCCTGAGGATTATGCTGACCCGGTAACGCCTTTTGGTGAGAAGAAACGGCTCTCTTCTCTGATGGCAAAGGCCTACAACCCAAGTGCAGTAGAAAATTCGTAAGTTTGGAGTTGGTTTTTGTCCTTTTTGGTATTATATGAACTCGTGTTTATTATCAATGCAGTTCTTAAGTTTTATAATTACTGTTTAGGTGGTATGCATGGTGGGAGAAATCAGGGTTCTTTGTCACAGATAACAAAAGCTCCAAACCGCCGTTTACGATAGTGAGTTTCTATATGGACCTTAGGTAGTTGCTGCCGAGATTGTAATATCATGTTATTGTTTTAATTATTGCAATATCATGTTATTTTTTTAATTACTAGTTGATTGAATTCAGAGTAGAAAATGTGGATGGTAAAAGTGCAGGATATCACTAGGATACCCAGTGGAACACAACTTGTCACAACCTTGGTGGATGATTGAACATAGGAAAATTTCTGTGACTTTTTAAATTATAATCTGATCTATGCTTATAACATAACACTGCACTAAATGCTTTGATGATTGTTGTGATGTCTCCATTTTACATAACCTAAATTTAATGAGTGTGTTTAAGTCTTATGAAATGTGAAAATGTCTAATACTCCTTTCGGTAAACAATGTGGAAAGAGGAACGGAAAGGGAAGGGGATGGAGAGTTTCCATTATTTGGTAGGAAGGAAAGGGTAAAGGAAAGAAAAGGAAAACAGTAGGGCAGCATATTCCTCTTGGCCTGCTGGCTTACCTTTTTCTGTTTTTCTACTTCCTCGGGTGTCCCTCTTTCTAAACAGACCTAAGAATATCAGGTCTGAAATCCGGATATGAATTTTGGAATTTGGTTTTTTCTAAGCTTCACTTTTTTTTCGGTGTAACCACAGGTTCTGCCACCTCCAAATGTGACTGGGGCCTTACATATAGGCCATGCCCTTATGGCTGCCATCGAGGTCTCACATATATTTTGCTTTTATTTTGCATTTTTGCTAGTGGCTTCTCATTTACAATTAATTTGCTATTGATTTTTCTTCCATGTAGGATACTATCATTCGTTGGCGAAGAATGTCTGGATACAATACTTTGTGGGTACCTGGGATGGACCATGCTGGGATAGCAACACAGGTTGTATTTGTTATCACCTCTTTAACATGCTAGTTCTCTTAATTTATCCTATCTGTATTCCTTGAGGGTTGACAAGCCTTTTTTTGTGCCTGAGTATTGCATGTATGTTAGTGCTCTAATCCGTCCACACATCATGAAGGGGACATGATGCACTTAAACAACTGTTCATCATTTTGTGCTATTGGAATTGAAATGCATATTAGCCAACAGTCTGTCATACGCCACACATAAAAAAAAAAAAAAAAAAAAAAAAAGAGAAATAAAAGGTCCAAAGGTCCCATTTATTTATTTGTTCCATGGATAAGGTTGCAATTCAAATCTCAGATGTGCGACTAATCTACCTGGATCCACGCCCATTGACATGAGGCGGCATCACATGCATGCAGCTTATGTCACACATTGTAGCTAGAGTCCTTTATCTTTCATTCCATTGACTACAAATTTTGTCTATAATATTAGATATATAACTTAAATGCTGATTTGCAGGTCGTTGTCGAGAAGAAGATTATGCGGGAAAGGCGTTTAACTAGGCATGATGTTGGTCGCGAGAGATTTGTGTCTGAAGTGAGTTTGAGCTGTCATTAGATTGTTCAATTGCAATTATAATTTCAAGTCCTAAAATACAATATCATTTATATGAATATATTCAGCCTTGTTCATTTATGTTTTGGTGATAGGTCTGGAATTGGAAGAATGAGTATGGGGGCACCATATTAAAACAACTACGGTGCCTGGGTGCTTCTCTTGATTGGTCTCGTGAGGCAAGAATTCAAAAATATCATTGCAAGTTTGACCCCATTCTAGATATAGTTAATACTCCTGAAAATTGGGAAGCTTCTTGGTTTGTTTAGTTGGATTGTTCCCCTTTTTTGGCTTTTCCCTCCCTGTTCTCATGTTGTGTTCTCCACACAGTGCTTTACGATGGATGACAAAAGATCCAAGGCTGTGACAGAGGCCTTTGTTCGGCTTTACAATGAAGGTCTTATTTATAGGTATGCGACATTGATAGCATTGTTTCCCTTTCTATTGTTATCCATGCTTTTAGTTGCTTTGTTCTTTGGCATTGTGAATTTGAGTTTTGCATTGCTTCTATAAGTGATGCTTCCCTCCATGTCTACACCACCCCCCCCAAAATAAAGAAAAAAAACCCCATTCACCCACCCTGAAAAGAAAACGAATATAAAGAAAGAACGGTAATGGTGTACAAACAAAAAATTTATACAGAATTTTCAGACCAGAATGTGTCCCACTAGCATTAATTCATATTGAAAGAATAGTGCATTCATATCATACTATTTGCAGAAACGCCACTCCAGTATCATTTTTTAATGATAATTGTTATTAAAATTCTGCTTGCAGAGCACTTTCCAAACAAAAAGAGGGCTATTGACAGCTTATCATTGTTCTTTAAAGGGTTGATGATGTTATAATAAAGTGCTTTTGACTTTTGACTTTCCCAAAAAAAAAAAAAAATAAAGTGGTTTTGCTTTACTTGTGGACTTGGGATGTGACTTCTTCTGCACACTTTCTTTTAAATATTGTTCCTTTCTCCTCAATTTTTCTATCCTAATCTTAATTTGGATTATAGATAGGACAGGTCACATTCCATGGTGCAATTGGGCTTTTAAGCATGAGATTGTGAGCACAAATTTTAGAGGCATCCACTTAATAAGGCCAAGCATTGTTCTATATCAAGGTCCCCTCTCAGCATAACGCAGAACCACTAACCGATAATGGGTGATAGCCATAATGCTAGTTCTTGATGTTAGTTTTTTGATGTTAGCTTTTTGATGTTAGTTTTTTGACTTGTCTCAATATTGTATTACGTAGTAATGGGGCTCTATTATGCTGGCTCTAGTCTATTATTGCTTCTCTCGTTAAACTGTATCTTTTTATATCTATTTGACAATTTAATCATGTTTGTCACCTTGTCCTTTGATTTGACGCATTACCTGTACACAGATTATTTTATGTGTTGCCCTGTACTTCAGGGATCTGCGGCTGGTGAATTGGGACTGTGTCTTGCGAACAGCAATATCTGATATTGAGGTAAGCCAAGACTGTTTGTCTTCTGAATGACTTAGTCAAGAGCATATTCTACATCTCTGGAAGTTTGTTGGTGTTTGTAGGTAGAACATGTGGAAATCAAAGATAGGACTTTGTTAAAGGTTCCTGGATATGAAAATCCAGTGGAATTTGGTGTTTTGACATCATTTGCTTACCCTCTAGAAGGAAATCTTGGGGAGCTTGTTGTGGCCACGACTAGAGTTGAAACAATGCTTGGTGATACTGCTATTGCCATACATCCTGATGACCAGAGATACAGCCATCTTCATGGAAAATTTGCTATCCATCCGTTTAATGGAAGGAAACTTCCTATAGTTTGTGATGCAATACTTGTTGATCCAGAATTTGGTACTGGTGCTGTTAAGGTACCGATTCTCCATATGTAACTTAGAAATGAGTTTTCTTGATTAACCTTTGGATTGTAAATTTTTGAATTCTGCTTTGACTCTCTTGCAGATAACTCCAGCCCATGATCCAAATGATTTTGAAGTTGGAAAGCGTCATAATCTTGACTTTATCAACGTTTTCACAGATGATGGAAAAATAAACAGCAATGGTGGTATGGAGTTTTCAGGCATGCCACGTTTCAAAGCCCGTGAAGCCGTGACTGCAGCTTTACAGGAAAAGGTATTCACACAACATAACAAGTCAGTTTGCCTAACTTGACAACTTTTCAGTCAGTGGTTCAACACTTTGTATTTTGGATAAAAGTTGAAATTGGTGGAATGTTAAGTTTGTTGCTATTGCTAATGGGGATACTTTTGTTCTTATTGGGATTCCTGACAGCATTGACCTTTTTAGCATGCCTAAGGATGCAACTTCTTAAATACAGTGTCGGTTCTGGAGGGGCTGGTGAAGAATAATCTGGTTTATTAGTTTTGTTCCCCCTTCTGTCTAAACTTAAAAAGTAAAAGTTGGCAAGCACACACGTTTCTGCATCCTGGGGTATAATTGGAGCTTTGTAGCTGCAATATATGCTTGCTTTGGATGCGATTTATCTTTAGATGGAAGAAAGAAAAACTAAAAAAGTGATTAAATTTTTTATTTTTCTTCCATCCAGGGACTCTATAGAGGTTCTAAAGCTAATGAGATGCGCCTTGGCCTTTGTTCAAGAACCAGTGATGTACTGGAGCCCTTGATAAAGCCTCAGTGGTATGTCAACTGCAATGTTATGGCCAAGCAAGCTCTTGATGCTGTCATGAATGATGAAAGTAAGAAAATGGAGATCATTCCAAAACAATATGCTGCTGAATGGAAGAGGTATTTTCACATGTGATCTTAACTTGCACGGTAGAGTGTTTAAGGTTTCATGGAGCTAATAATGGAGACAAAATATCATGAGCCATGTCTTAGGGTCTAGCTTATTTAACATGATAACTGTAGACGTTTTTTTGAATAAATGTCTAAGTGTATTGTACTTCTGGGTTTCAAATATCATAGATGGCTTGAGAACATTCGTGATTGGTGCATCTCGAGGCAACTGTGGTGGGGCCATCGTATACCTGCATGGTATGTGACACTGGATGATGATGAACTGAAGGAACTTGGTGTATACAATGACCACTGGGTGGTTGCTAGAAATGAAGAAGACGCTATATTAGAGGCTAGCAGAATGTTTGATGGGAAGAAGTTTCAGATGTCTCAGGATCCTGATGTGCTGGACACCTGGTTTTCCTCTGGTCTTTTTCCGTTGTCTGTGCTAGGGTGGCCAGAGGATACTGAAGATTTGAAGGCTTTTTATCCGACTTCTGTTCTCGAAACTGGGCACGACATTCTCTTTTTTTGGGTTGCTCGGATGATGATGTTAGGAATCAAGCTGGGGGGTGATGTGCCTTTTAGAAAGGTGAGTACACAGTATCATACCATGTCATAGCCATGTAGCTAATTAGATGGTATCTGTGCCATGCCATCTCCAGTTTTGTGCTTTGGCCAAGTGTTGTGAACCACACAGATAGATTAAAGGTTCAAATTTTGTCATGGTTCTTTACGGCATTACTGCTCTCTGGAAGAGTTCTAGAGTTTGTTGGCGTGCATCTTTTCATTTCATCAGAGAAATGATATCAGAAGTTACAAATCGGTTTAAATGAAACCTAATTTTTAATTTGTTTATACAATATGGTAAGGCCTCAAACTTGTAGCCAAACCCCCAAAAAATATTCTAAGGTCTTAAGTTGATAAGTAGATACAAAAAAGAGGTATCATAGGTTGAGGTATAGGAGGAGTGCAGAAGTTTTATATCTGCTCTAGATTTTATATATGTAGTTTCCAACAGGTTTGAATACAGGTACCTTTTTCTGTTAAAATGATTGAAGGATGCATTTTGAACTTGCAGGTTTATTTGCACCCCATGATTCGTGATGCACATGGGCGGAAGATGTCCAAGTCTTTAGGAAATGTAATTGATCCTGTTGAAGTTATAAGTGGAATAACCCTGGGCGGACTTCACAAGCGACTGGACGAGGGTATCTTGGATCCCACTGAGTTGAAGATTGCCAAGGAAGGACAGGTGAAGGACTTTCCCAATGGTATTCCTGAATGTGGTGCAGACGCTTTGCGGTTTGCCCTTGTCTCTTACACCGCTCAGGTTCACGATTTCCTAATTTTTTTTTTTTCCAGATTCCTGCTTCCTTGGGTTGTTTGATAACTTTGTGATTTTTGCCCTTCCAGTCTGATAAGATAAATTTGGATATCCAAAGGGTTGTTGGTTATCGCCAATGGTGTAACAAATTGTGGAATGCTATAAGGTTTGCCTTGAGCAGGCTTGGAGATGACTACACCCCTCCAAAGAATATAGTTCCGGATATCATGCCCTTTTGCTGCCAGTGGATACTCTCGGTACTGAACAAAGCCATATCCAAAACTGTGTCATCTCTTGATTCATATGATTTTTCAGATGCAGCCAGTGCAGTATATTCATGGTGGCAGTTTCAACTATGTGATGTTTTTATCGAAGTAATCAAGCCTTACTTTGCTAGTAGTGATCCAACATTTGCTTCTGCAAAGACGTCTGCACAAGACACCTTGTGGGTATGTCTGGATAATGGGCTACGGTTACTTCATCCATTTATGCCCTATGTTACAGAAGAATTGTGGCAACGGCTTCCTACTAGGAGTGATTGTACAAGGAAGGAATCTATCATGATATGCGAGTATCCTTCAGTTGTGGAGGTGAGATGTAGTTGTATTTTTGGAAAGTTTAACGAAAAGTTTACTAATACGACCTTGGGTAGCATTGACATTTACTGAACCCAAGATGTATAACCTAGCATTCGGATTAAATGAAAGTAAATGCCTGGAAAAGTTAACTCAGGTTTCTGGAAAAGCTACCTGTGACACACTGGGATATGCAATTTTGACATCAATTTGTTTATATGGCTGATATACACAGAATGGGGTATGTGGTTTTGTGCCAAATAATATACTGCCACTAGTTTGATGACTTGACTTATCTGGAAAATCGTTTTAATGCATTTCCAATTGACTTTAAAATTCTTGTGTTTGTATATGATCCTCTCCAACATTCAAATGTCATGTAGTTGGTTTTATGACCGACTGTTAAAGAACATTTGATTGTAAATGAGAAGATGTCTGCTTGGTGTTTAAACATTAGTTTGGCATTTGTGGGCTGCTTCAAATATTATGTCCGATGGACATTAACAATATCTTCAATCACCAATTAGGTAGCACATGCACCAATCTTCCTAATCCTATTGCACATATAAGATGTTTTGGAATTTATCTGTTTGTGGTTTTCTTTTTCTTGCCCTTTTCAAAAGGGGGCCACTTGTTTTTGTACTTGAATATGATTGCATTAACTTGTTCAATGGTTAAAATTTGGACGAAACCTTGAGGTTATGGGTTCAGACGGGAAGGCATTCACTTTGTTCGCATAATGCTAAAAGGTTATGTTGGTGCCCAATCTGCCTCTCGCAGACCATCATTAATGGGGTTAGGTGTTGTTTTTTCACTTATTTTTCTTGACCTGTTCAATTTTTTATCTGGTTTATATTGTTCAAAAGCTATATGAACATTCAACATTTGGAAAAACATCAATTGTGCTGATGTTCAACCCATTTTTTAAAATTTTTGCAGTGTTGGACTAATGAAAGGGTAGAATACGAGATGGACGTGGTTGAGTCTGCTATAAAATCACTGAGATCTCTCAGATCCTTGTTGTCGGCCAAGGAAAGGCATGAAAGGTAAATGTGTATACCTTTTTTTTTTTTTCCAATAAGAAACATAACTTTCCTTTTTTTTTTTGTTTTTTTGGTACATAGGAAAAACCAAAGGGTTATCTAAACCCTCTAGCAAAAGAGATACATGTAAGGTCATTCAAAAGGAACTGTCCCAACACAGGCGGTGGCACATCAAAAAGCCCAAAAGAGTCCTGTTGAAGCCCTCCCAGGCTTGCCATCTTGTTAGAACATAAATTTCCTTCTCTCAGTGTGTGAAGAATAGGGGTATTAGTCAACCCCATTATATGCTTGCATTTGACAATGATATTCCTTTCGAGGTGGGGTTCCTCCAACCTAGCAGTGATTAGGTTGAGGGCTTCCAAAGAGTCAATCTTCATGATCACCTTCTTGAGGTTCTGTGTTTGTATGATCTTGAGACCTTGATAGATANTAGCAGTGATTAGGTTGAGGGCTTCGAAAGAGTCAATCTTCATGATCACCTTCTTGAGGTTCTGTGTTTGTATGATCTTGAGACCTTGATAGATTGCTCACAGTTCAGCTTGAAGGCTCGTGGAGTCCTTAAGCTTTCCATAGAAACCTAGCTACCATCTTCCTTGATCATTCCTTAGCAGTCCACCTATTGCAGCTGAGCCAGGGTTCCCTTTTGAGCTACCATCCACATTCATATTCGTCCATCTTGCAGGAGGGAAGACCAACCAATGAGTTTAGGGGGATTGGGAATCACGTGGGTATGAGATTCATTGAAAGCATCCGATGAATCCCGTGCCAGTCTCCAAACTTTCTTAGTAATGATTTTTTTTTTTTTTGGGGTTGTGTTACCCAGATATTCTTGATTCCCATCTTTCCAGATGTTCCATTTTAGAGAAGCAAAAAGAATATGCCATTTCACTCCTCTCCAACAAATATCCTTTCTAACTTTATAGTTTTTAATGAGTCAATTATGGAGGTCCATAGATTGATCCTGGTGGAGATCATTCCTGGTAAGGAATGATCCCCAGAACAGACCAACTTTTGGGCAATCTCTCAGGATATGAATTGTGTTTTCGTTATGAGCCCTGCATCTCTCATAGGAAGGATCATTCGTAAGGTTCTTGTGAACCTCAGGGAGTTTTAAAAGAGTTTGTTGCATTGGACCAGCCACAGAAAGTGCTTGAGTTTCTGTGGTATCCCAAACTTCCAAAACCAATTCCAGTTTAATCCATGATGCTGACTTAGATTAGGTTTAGAAATCCAGTTATAAGCAGATTTGATAGAAAATTTTCCATTGCTTGTAAGTCCCCAGGATGGTGAGTCTTGATGGGAGCCTTCCAGTGGCAGTGGATAGTGCAAGAGATTAGAGATAATGTTAGAGGGAAGGCACATACCTGCTTTCTGGATATTTTAGTTACCTGTGGGACTTATGATATCTGCCACTGTGCTGTTGGGGTCAGCTGATGATGGTATCTGCATCCTTCTTTGGAGTGGGCTATCACCTGTCCACCAATCATTCCACAGTGAGACTTTTGAACCATTACTAATGAGCCATTTTGTGTTTTCCTTCACAACTTGACTGGTTTTTAACAAGGCTCTCCATATTGGAGAAGCATTAGATTTAAGTGGTCAATCTTTCAAGGATGGATTCATGTACTTATTTTTGACAACTTTAACCCATAGGGACTTACCCTCAAAATGCAAACTCCAACCCAGTTTAGACTGGATAACTAAGTTGTTCTCTCTACATTTCCTCAAGCCCGGTCCCCCAAATGTCTTAGGGGTGCAGACAGTGTCCCAATTAATCAAGTGGACCTTTTTTCTCTCCTCCGTATCCCCCCTAAAAAGAAGTTCCTATTTAACCTATCAATTTTCTCACAGGTGGACTGGGGTAACCAAGAGGTTTGCATAGTGTAGGTTGGGATGGTTGAGGTATCAGCTTGCACAAGAGTGTTTCTTCATGCTAATGAAAGGTTTTTAATTTTTCAACCACTCAATTTCTTTTGAATATTACCAATCACCGAGTTATAGTGCTCCTTGTTACCCTCTTGTGAATGATAGGGATACATAGACACTTCCCTAGGTCTTCTGTACATGTAATGCCACTTCTATGCCTTAGGTGCAGTGCATGGCTCCTATTGATATTTGGAGAGAAGTAGACTCTAGACTTAGACATGCTTACTTTTTGACCTGTGATAGATCAAAAATCTTCCAAGTCAGCTTTTAACCATGTCACAATCTTTTTCGGTAAACCTAGAGAAGAGGATGATGTTATCAACAAAAAGAAGATGAGTAATGACAGTGCCTTTTCTAGAGGTTTTGATGCCTCTCCATAAACCTTTATCAACTTTATTTTGAATGATCTGCCCTAATTTCTCCATACAACGTAAATAAGTAGGGTGACAATGGGTAACCCTGTCTAAGTCCACTTCTAGGCTTAATTGGGTCCAAAGGGGATCCATTACATAAGATAGAAAGGGAAGAACCTATCACATTGCTCATAATCAAGTCAATCCAAGATTGGGGAAAATTGAAATCAATCAATATTTGGTGAAGGAAGGGCCAACTTACTCCATTCAAGGTCGATTTTAATGACCATTCCTCCATTTTTACCTTTTCTTTTCCTTAGTGAGTGAATAATTTCCAGGGTGACAATAAAGAAATCAAGTGATCAATATTTTCCCCACCTTTGCACGTGGCACACCAATTAGGGGATACCATGAGCAATCATCCATGCAAGCATGACACTTTGTTCCAAATCATCTTTTGAGGATCAAAGAATGAATCATTAGGAACATCAATCAATTGTTGAAAATGACAACTACATGAGAAATTTTCAGAAGAATCGAAAGACCAATCTCCTGTAGCATTGACCGATGAATGCAAATAGGCAAATTAAGCAAAGGCAAAAGAGACACCAACTTCAAGGTTTCCCGATTGATAAGAGAGCGAAAACAATTGAAGTTCCAACCCCCATAAGAAAAAGAATGATAATTGAAAAACAAGCTTTTCAAAGAGCCATTATGAGAACATGATAATATGTAAAGTCTAGGAAATAATGAAGCAAAGGATGACTCACCATTCCAAGGATCCTCCTAAAAACGAATTCTCTCCCACTACCCCCTCTCAAGGTAATATCCTTCATGAAATCTTCCAACCCCTGAGAGATAAGTTTACAAGGATTATGAAATGATCTTCTACTCACCACATTAGAGTTTCATCCATTAGAATGGATTCCATATTTACTTTTGATAATAGAATGCCACAAAGAATTAGGTTACAATGAAAACCTCAAAAGTCACTTTCACAACAGAGCTACATTCCTCCTAATCAAGTTATCAATTGTCAAACCACCTTTTTGGTTTTGATTTTGACATAACTACTCAGCTAACTAAATGATCTTTCTTCCTTTCTACACTTCCTTCCCATAAAAATTTCTCATCATATTTCAAATATCTTAGTGACTTTTTTAGGAAGCTTAAAAAGGGATATAAAGTAAGCACGAATACTATCAAAAATGACTTGTATCAAAGTAAGCCTCCCTCCCCTGAACAAACACCCCATTTTCCAACCATCTGGTCTTTTTTGCATTTTTTCCACAACAAAGTTCCAAAAATTTAAGGACAAAGGATTGCCTTCCAAAGGAAGATGTAAATATTTTAATGGCCACTCACTGACTTCACAACCCAATCCTTTAGCCCAGGCTTCAATTTTATGCCTATGAGCATTCATATCCGCAATGGAACTCTTACTCATATTCACTTTCAACCTCGAGACCAAACTAAAGGTACTCACTATATCAACAAGGTTTGAAAATTTTTGCTCATCTCCTAAAGATGAGGAACACTATGTGTGTATACTTGTTTCTGCATTTTTGACTTATGTTGTGTGATTATCAAATCCTCTTATATAATTCGCCACGGAAAGTATGCCAATCAGTATTTTACCAAATGAACTTACATTGTGAATGTGATGCAATTATAATGCATCAAATTCTACCCATTTATTCTCTTTCTTGGACTATAAGGCAATTTCTGAAAATGCTGTGAATAAGAAAGTAAATGTCATTTTCCATGTTGGGTAAGAATGGCACTTAATGACTGAAGATGTGGGACACATGCCACAAACAAATGCTGTGGAAATGGCAATAATTGTTGCATGGACAAAATGTATGGAGAGAAAAAAGGATTTGAGTTAATAATTTTATGTAGGAGACCCTAGAAAGCCTTCAAGCATGTTGCCTTCTGTTAGTTTGGTGGTGGCAATGATTATATAAAAGCCTTGTGAGTATAGAGTTAGATGTAATATTGTTGCAGTTGACCTATGGAGTAACAGCTTTGAGTTGGAAAATAAATGATTATTGAACTGATTGATGGTATGTTCAAAAAGAAAAAATTGATTGATAAATCATGCAAAAAATTGACATTTATGTATGATGAAATATGCATGTAAAAAAACACTGCCACATTTCATTTTCTTTGGAATATGATTATCGGTTTTTAGTCATGCGCTCTATGACTCAAATATGGAGCCGCATGAAATGAGGAATTTGTAGGATTCTCTGGAGGAGCACTGCATGGCTTTATGTTGTGCTCTATAAAAATTGATCCTATTCTTAATGTATATTGCTAGCATAGTTGTGGTAAAAATATATCATGTTTACTTCAATTATTGCAAAGTCCATCACAAAGATAATTGAGGGGCCTAGGTATCTTTTGCCTGTAGGCGGGCAGCATTTGCACTTTGCCGAGCCAATGCTATTGTAGAGATTATCAAAAGCCATGAACTGGAGATTTCAACCCTTGCCACATTATCATCTTTGAAGGTATGTGTTCAAAAAAAAAAAAAAAAAACTTATCACACACACACACACACACAGACAGATGTTGGAAGAGTGGTTTTGGGTTGATGTTTTCTTTTGTTACATGCTTCTTGTGCCTCTTTTAGGGTTCATTGTCAAGGTGAAGCTGATTTATACGTGTCTAATTTCTTATGCGTGACAAGTATCTAACTTTCAAGAAATTTTTTTGTTCTTGTCATTTTGGTAGTTTGGCTTTATCCAAAACTTTAGGAGTACTTGAAAACATCAAAGTTGATAATAGGTTGGTCAAAATCTAACAAAAAAATACCTAACATCCATTTTTTTTAGTTTCTTGACCATATCTTGTTTTAACTTTTAAGCTATGGTGAGAGAGAGACCTTTTAAGAGTCTAAATTTTCTTTCAGGCTGGATTTTTGATGCACAATCTGCTTTATTCTCTTGTTTCTGTTCAGTCTAATTCATAGTTCAAGGTATTGGCCGAGTCTGATATGACTTGGCCGAGTTTTATCCGACTCGGCCTACGGCGATACGATAACGGTACACGAAACGTAGAAATCACGAATTGAACATGTATCACCGATATCTCCGTGATATTGTCCGAAATTAAAGGACTCAGTATTCAATCGGTTCAACTCGGCCGAGATAAATTAGAATCTTGTCGAGTCGACCAAGTCAGTGAACAAATCCCCCCAAATCTTAAAGCTTGACAAACACTCAAATAATTACTGAAAATTGAAGAAAAATCCAAAAAAAAAAAAGGGGATGTGAAATAAAGCACACCCACTACCAGTCAAGACTCGAAACCCATGTGAAAATTGTAAAAAACACATGAACCCTGAATCTAAAACCCTCTTTTTCAACTGTTAAAACGAAGAATACTAAAGATTCGACATAACAGTAGGTCTGCATATTTTCATCTGTTTTTGTGTGAAATCAGGATACTTCGGTTCTTTGTTGCGATCTTCTTCGGTTCTTCATGAATGAATCTCTCTCTATGTTGGTTCTCACTGTCGGTGAGGGACCGTGGTGGTCTCGTCTCTGACTGCACCCATCTCTCTCTCTCTCTCATCGTGAATGAGAAGATGAGAAGTCTTTGTCTGAGACTCGGAAAGACTGAAACAAATTTTTGCCTGAAATATATGCTGGGTTTGCTGGTGTTTTTTTTTTTTTTTGAGTGAGTGTTGTTTATATATTTATACTTGTCTTAAAAGTAGTATAAAAATAGTAGATCAATTGGGCAGAGAAGCAAATTAGCACCTTGCAGGTCACTGGTTTGATTCCCTCCAACAGCTTGTTTTACATTATTTTACAAGGATCACTAGTTCGATTCCCTCCAAGCCTATTTTACAAGGATTGTTGTTTAATGATCAAAAAAATTATAACTTTAATGTAATAATTAGATACATTAATATTTTATAATAATAAATAAGTGGGTATAAGTTCTATTTTTTTTTTATAAAAAATATATGTACTATTTCAAATGATGTACAATTAAATTATTTTTATATTTAAGTTACTTATTTATTGAATAAATATTGCAAGGATTGTTGTTTAATGATCAAAAAAATTACAACTTTAATATTTATTAAAAAATTATAACTTTAATTTAAAAAAATATAACTTTGATGTAAATTTAATGCCTACATTGAACATTAATAATGATAATTATTTTTGCTAGCGATTTTATATTTCATTTTAATTATGTTTAATGTGTTTTTTGATGTATTGTAGACATATGACGCATAAATTATAATGTCTATATTTTTAGAATTTTCTATAATTTTTCGATTTTTTTTGGAGCTTCTATCTTACGCTTTGAGCGTATCGGCCGATACCGCGCCGCGACGCCGCGACCGATGTGTATCAGTACCCTCCGAGTTGATGACCGATACCACGACTTTGAACCATGGTCTAATTAGCTTAATGTCCTCTCTTCCTATCTCTTCACTTTGTTCAAGAAAGATGATCTCACTGGTCCACCCCTTTTTTCATTACTAGTGGAATATCCTTCACTTTTTTACTAAAAATGGTCGTTAGATTTTTTATGGTTAAGATAATTACTAATTATAGTTAGTGATCATCATGCTGAACTTCTATATGACTTCATGGCCATATATGTTTTGGGCTCTTTCTTTTTGTTAAATTGTGGTGGTTGTTAAAGCAGCAATTCTGGGTATGGAACCTTGTGGAAAACTTGCTTTCTAGCTAAGCTGAACTGAGAGCCTACTTCTTCAGCTTTAAAGTGCTGTAGTTTTGTATAGAGATTGAGATTGATTTCTTTTTTCTATAATACTGATTCTTGTTCTTGTTAGCTATATTCGTCTGAATTTGATACTTAAAATTACTAGGTTCTATGTGAGGATGATGCTGCACCAGCTGGATGTGCTGTATCTGTTGTAAATGAAGGCCTTTCTATGTTTCTGAAGCTTCGGGGAACTCTTGACGCAGAAGCAGAACGTGAAAAGCTCAGGAAAAAGATAGAGGAGATTCAAAAGTAAGTGATGTTTCTCCTTTTGTTGGCTTTGTGGCTCCACTGTGTGGCTTTTGTTACCGTTTTTTTTTCTTGAATTTTGCTTGTTTTAAGGGTCGCTAGTTGCCCATCTCATTGATTTGTATCATATCAAGAAAAAATAAAAAAAGCTGATGGTTAATCTAGAGTTTCTTGATTAGGTTGTTTCTGCTTCTAGCTGCTTTCTGCTAAGCACATTGTGCAATCATTTGGTATGACTAGCAATGCAACACCTGTGTTGCACGTGAATAATTTTCGTATACAAAATATTAATAAAAAGTATTAGGTATATGTGTACCTATATTAAATATCATTTCAAATCTATCAAAATTATATTTTTGTCGCTTGTATTATACTATAAAATTTGAAAAATATTGTCTGTTTTTGTTTTAACTATAAGAAAAAGATAATAATAATTAGGAATTACATAGGTCCATATGATAAAATATAGGGTTAATAACACTTTGGGTGTTTAAAGTATGTATTTTTTGTCAATTTCGTCCTCAATATATGAATTTTGTCAATTTGGTCCAGGGTTACTTGGATCGTGGGTTGGTTGGGTGCGTACATGGTACAGGTATAGGTGCGGGGTATGTTTCTTTTTCTGGTGCGCGGTGCGGTGGGAGTTGGCTTAGTTGGTACGCTATTTTGGGTCGTGGTTCAATTTGAACTATTATTTGGATCGTTTTCATTATTACAAAGAATTATATAAATTTATACATTATAAAATGCAAATTAAGACTAACATCAACACATCAACTAATAGTCATATATAAAAAAGTAATGATTGTATATTTTATTATTAAAAAAAGACAATATAAATTTAAAGACTCAAAATTTTAAAAATAACATACTAGAGAGCGATTAAATAACTTCTTACTTGAAGCACAAATCAAAATAACACTCTTAAACATCAAACTAGTCTCAAATAAAAATTACTTAATAATAAGAAAAAATTGGAGCACTTGAGTTAATTGTCAACTCTTTTTCCTTTATCTTTCGCAGTGTTCCCTCCTCTTGCAAAATTACTAATTTGAATCTGATGCAGTTCGGAATGACGGAGCGGTAGCTTGCTAGAACTAGTAGGTGACTTGTCAATAGAGACGGGTATAGAAGTATGAAAGGATGAAGCTTTTCGATCTTGGTCAATGGTAGAACTATCTGTATTGTCATCCTCCAAGAATTTCCATCGCAAATCCTCTAATCTCACACTAGAATAATCTATATATGTGTTTTGGATTTATATCCCATTTCTTAAAAGGGATATCTTTGTAGCTTTCATTGAAATATGATTGGAGACGAATAATTGAATGGATGGAAACCAATTTGTCAGCTCTGGTAGAATTCAATCTATTTCTCTTGACATTTTGAATAAATGAATACGCGCTCCAATTTCTTTCAGTTGAAGAACTTGTAATTGGTTGTGATAACACCTTTTATGAAAAAATAATAAGACACATTAATAATGATAATTAACAATAGAAATAAATAACTTATAATTTAAATTAGTACCTTTTTTCACCACATTTGTCAATTCCAGGGTTTCTGAACTATATGTCGACCACCAATCAATAGCATCCATGGTCACAACATCTGTTTGAGCCGCCGTTATAGCATAAAGACCCTTTCGTGAGTGAAAATGTACAAACTGTTCTCGCAATTGTTTTGCTTCTTCTACATCTTCTGTTATCTTTTCAAAAGCTTCCACAACACCTATTGTGACCTCTCTATCTTAATTTGAAGGTTTCCTAATTGTACCTCCCGGTGCTAGCTTAGTAAGATATTGGGTATCAAAAAACCGTGGTATTATTACAAACTCAAGCCAATGCAAAGAAATATTTATCTTCTCCCATCTGTTAAGCACAATTTTGCCAATCTGGGGAAATTTACCAACGTGTTTTTTTATAATATATTTTATTTCACAAAGCATATTGTCTATCTTTTCATAAATCTCACTCATTTTTTGACCTTCTCCATCACAAAATCTAATAAGAAAAAATATAATTTTTGTGATACTTATGATATTCTCCACATCCTCCCAAAATTCTTCACTAATAACGGTTTCTGTAACCAAAACATCTAACTTCCTTATGTGTTTATTCTCAGATTTCACCAATTCTTTCCATGACTTAAGAACAATGGTAGTTGAAAGGAACTCTCTATGATCAACAAGTCGCTTCAACAAAGTATAATGCGATGCAAATCTGGTGTTAGCCACTTTTAATAGCTCCAATTTAAACTGAGCCCTAAACATAGCCAAAGTATGTATATGGTTCAAGAAATATTTAACAATAAACTTTCCCTTTCTATATGTATTTCTAAACTATTCAAATTATTTTGCAAAATCTTTAAAAATTAGATTCAGAGTATGAACAACACAGGAGACCAAAATATGTGTTTGTGTATCTTTTCCACTTATTTTCCCACAAGTTTGCAATTTGCTGCATTATCGGTCACTACTTGAATGACATTCAGTGGACCTACTTCTTCGATGACTTTCAACAAAAAATTAGCAATTGCTTTACCTGTTTTCTTTATCCGCGCAAAATCCTCAGCATATAAAAACATAGCTCCACGAGGATTTGCAACAATAATTTTAATAAGTGGTTGATGCTTCACATTAGTCTACCTATCTGATACAATGGATACCCCATTAGAATACCATGTATCTTTAACCAGAATGAAATCTTTTTCAACATTTCTTTTGCACTCATTCAATATTGTAGTTTTTGTTTTTTCATAGCTGGGAGCCTTGTAACCTTTAGGTCCTTTATTTGTAGCTGAAATCATCTCATTGAATTGAGGATTTCTCAACACATTGAATGAGATTCCATTAGCACATAATCCTCTGATGACCTTCAAGTCAACCATGTTTCGATCTATTATTTTGAATGCATCTTCAATTGATCCTGTCGTCGATGAAGATTGTCGCTTCATCAATGTAAAGTTTTTTAGGGATGAAGAAACTCCTATTTTTTTCTGCCTTTTGTACTATTTCTTGCAATTTTGCATATTCAGTTAAATTATTCATCAATGCTTGACACCGTTAATTTATGTTTTTTTTTCTCGGGTGGGGCACCAAAAAAGTGGTGATGCATTTGTGTAATTACCCATAAAAAAATTATTTTATTTTGGTGTTTTGCTACTTAGTAGTAATTTTATTNGTTTTTTTTTTCTCGGGTGGGGCACCAAAAAAGTGGTAATGCTTTTGTGTAATTACCCATAAAAAAATTATTTTATTTTGGTGTTTTGCTACTTAGTAGTAATTTTATTTATATACATATAAGGATAAAAATAATTAAAGAAGACTAATGTGTCTCTAATAAAAGTCTTGTCCTAGAGAGACCTATTAGGACTATTTTACATGTGGTTTAAATAGGATAATATTATTGGATAGATAAAACTCTAGAAGATCAATGTAAGGGGCGACAAACAGAGAAAAAAAAACGTGAGAGGGGAGAGAGAGAAGGATGGGAAAAAAAAAAGAAAAAAGAACAAACATAATGTGTGAGTGTTCTTGGAACTGAAAAAAGTTAGTAGTAACAAACATGATTTGACAAATATACTTGGAACTGAATGTGTGAGTGTTCTTGGGTTATAAATGTCTTTTTATTTATAAAGTTATTTGTGAAAATGAGTAGGTGTTTTGAGTTATAAATATCTTTTCATTCATAAAGTTATTTATGATCATGAGATCATGTTGTTTAAATGTGATGAGCCCAAATTTAACTGGGCCAGGCCCAATTACTGAGCTATACCCAAATCAGCTACAAGGTGGGTTAAGCCCAATCCATGGATTCAGCCCAGTCTAGAGTTCAAGGAGTCCAGAGGATTAAAGCACGTGAGGAGCAATTATGGGGATACTCACTCTTGAAGATTAAGTCAACCTTTAATTGTACTTACCTTTTGTAGCTCCTCGAAGATCTAGTGTCTTCACCCTCACTTGACCGTCTCAGCTAAGATTCTGTGCTTATAAATTGTAAGCTCTTTTCGTTGAGAGGGACATCTCTACACCTCTCTACACACCCCACATATAGCTTTTCTCTCTCGTTTATCTTACTTAATCAATAAAAAGTCCTCTGGCTACCGTTATTGTTTTTCGGAGTGGAGTATAGGTCACCTAGACCGAACCACTATATATCTGTGTGTTGACTCAATATTTATATTATTGTCATTGATTGCTTTATTAATTGTCCATTAATTGCACACTGTCACACATTCGACTGTTCATCTTGCACGAGACTATTTTGTGTATCATCAAAATGATTATTTGAAAGGGGTTGTGGTGCGATTTGTTGTACTTATGTATGTATCAAATTTTATTTTTGTATATAAGCTGTGAGATTTATTTTCACACCTCATTAGAGGTAATTGCTATTCATGGGCAATTGTGCTCATGCAAACGTCTAATATAGTGAGGAGTAAGTGCGGATATACAAGGGATTAGGGGACTTGAAGATTTATTTTACTTTAGATCTTCGGGAATAAATGTCTGTATAATTTTGAAACAAATATTTAATTATTTTGGGAATAATGTTGCTTATATTTAAAGTAGTGAACCTTACAGTTTGATTATTATTTTACATGGATTTAGTAATGATGTTGGTGATGTTTAGTTTATTCTTTTAGTATTCATTAGATCGGTGGAATGAGTCATTTTATTATTTATCGTCCGCTGTATTTTGTATTTATTATGTACAGGGTTGGTTGGTCAAGGTTTTGGTGGCCGGTCTACCACCCGTCCTATGTGATCCGAGATGGGGGTGTGACAAGTTTGATATCAGAGTGATGTGGACTAGGAAGGGAAAAATTAGGGACGAAAAGAGAAGAAGAAAGGGATGATAAAAGAAGAAAAAAGGGAAGATTAAAGAGAAAGAATTTGAGAAGGAAGTAATATCAGTATTCAATAATAATTGAAGTCTAATCTAATTAAAACAGTTATATGCATCCTTTTATATAGGAAAACTATAATCCTTAAACAAATAAGTA